GTTTAATAGGTATTGCATGATTGGTGGGCAGGGTCAAAAAGGGATTATTATAATGACATGGCACCTCGGAACTAAGTGTTAACCCTTTTTTGAGAAATCATGCTCAAGTATATGAACCCAAATTGCATATTAAATAAGTTTACAAGAACCACTAAAATTAATCTTAATCTTTTTTTAAGAAATTTTACTTACCTAAATACATGTAGGTACTTAGTTTTAGACCAAATTACTTCCCAAAAATGGCCTTTTATTATTATCTATGTCTGTAATTTTTAATTTACTTTAATTATTAAGTTTAATAATCCTAAGATTTGCCTACGCCCATGGACGACAACGAAATTCAGGCAAATTTTATGACACTTCATGATTTATTACTCTACACTCTTTTGAAATAGACTATAGTTGCATGAATAAAAAAAAACTATAGTTATAGTTGACAGTCAAATATAACAGTATTGTGTCCTAAGTTCCTCAGGGATCAGTACTGGGACCTTTACTTTTTGTGGTTTTTGTTAATGATCTCTCAGAACATGTTAACAATTGCCACATAACTATGTTTTGTATTCGGGTATTGATCTAAGAATTGTACAACATATGATTTTTAAGAAAGAGAAAGATAATTCCTCTGCAGATCTAAGAGTGAAACATTTTCAATGCTCTAGAAGTAACATTCGTAATATGGGGTTTGTATATGACATTTTTGGGTCAACAATGATTTCTAAATCTTTGATTGTATTTGTTGTTTCCAGTTCTGATTGCTTGATCTCATATGGATGATTTATGGGATCTTTGTTTCGAAAAAAAGTAAATTTATGACATTTATCTGCAATAAGTTCATATCACATCAGCATTCAAAGTTAGATAAATTGCACTGCAATAATTCAGTATTAGATGGGTCATGAATAACTTTAAACATCTTCAGATCATCAGCAAACAAAAGAAATTCACTATAGAAAACGTTATTCAAGTCATTTACAAATAGGCTGAAAAGTAATAGTCCCAAATGAGATCCCTGCGGTACACCACATGGAACTGTGATTGAGGAAGATACTAAGTTACCATATTTCACATATTGGGCTCTATAGGCAAGATAATTTTCAATCAGTTTCAGAATGTTTTCCTGAATACCCAAAGCGTTTATTCTATACAACAACAAATTGTGATTTACTCGGTTGAATCGCTTTGAAAAATATGTGTTCACATATACAGGGTGTCCCTGGACTTCCTCTTTTCCTCTCGGGAATGTATAGATGGGGTCAAAATATCATCAATACTTCATATAACTTTTTTTCCTAAAATCCTTCGTTACCAAGTAACGGGCCCTCGAAGTTACAAAATGAAAAATGTTTTTCTTTGATAACTTTTCAAGTGAATATTCAAAATCATCCAAATTTTGGTAATTGACTAAACAAATGAATTCC